GTCCTTTTCTAAACAGTCAAGGATATCAAAGTCTAGTCTCTGGATGAAAACTAAATTTATACAGCTGGTGGGACATCAACCAGGAATAAGGAATACGTACAAGTCACTTGTAAACTTAAAAGAAAAGTTTTATCTTGTTTTATCCATTGATAGGTATATTATGTATTTAATAAAATTATTAGAATGTTTCATTATTTCTTGATTTAAGTCGGTTCGGTTCTCGTTCGCCGCATCAAACCTAAGACGTAAACATAAGTAGTGACTGGTCCTTCGCCAAGCGCCCGGCACTAGAAGTGAAAGTTACGAGTCTTTCGGAGGAGACCTTAAAACCGAGGTCTTTTGTCACGGTAGGCATTTGCATGAAAAGAACCCTCACTGCTAAATGGTCCTGAGTGTCAGGTATAGGTCTAAATTTGAAGCCCTTCACCTAGACGTCTCTATATGAATCAAAAATTCTCGAATGGGACGTTAAACAACGTACAATCAATCAATCAATCTTAAGAATAGCAGGAGCATAATTTGTCAGGTTTATTTAAATAGTGGCTTGTAGTGCATTTTCTGTGTCTCATTTTGGCTTTCTTGTAAAATTTCTATGGGAATTAACTCATTTAAATCATAATCCAAGACTTCCAGTTCACTGAATCTGAGAGATGATGCTTATAGATTTTCCATATACATGTAGTCTACGGTAACATGTCTACATCCTCAGCAAGGTCTTATGTAATTACTAGGCAAATATACGAATATTATAATTTATTTATCTGTTATATCAAAAATGCACAGAACTCTTCAATATGTATGGATGTCCCTACCACTAAAGACCTCATCCGAAAACTAGTTACATGTATTCTTGCAATGAAAAAAGACCAATGAAACACCTTTATATGTTGCATATTGAAATGTTATGCTATCTGTCGACATACATGTAATTATCTTGCATGTCGCGCCATAATCGATAGAAAAAGATCTTGCATATAGAAGGTAGAAATATGTCACCATAGCTTAATCATGTAAGTGTGCACTTATCTTCCTGTTGATAAATAAAGGAAAATCAATGACTCAGGAAGAACAATAATTCAGTATCACTCAGGTTAAAAAAAAAATCATGACACCTTTAGTTTCGGTTTCGTGTAAAACAAAATGGATGCAAAGTTATTAGTAATATTTCCTGTGAGTGTACTTTCGAACATTTTTTATCCCCGAGATGAATGTCCAGGTGATGTTACAGAATGGAATAAAGACAAACATCAGATGAACTGTTCTAGTCCAGATTATATTTACCACTGTCTTCCTGATGACAATAGAAAGTTAGGAGAAATATGTACAAAAGGACCGGCTGTTAGGGTCCAAAAAGGTAGGGGGGGGGGGGAAAGGAAATTGTTTATAAAAATCAAAGATAACTAGAAACTATAAATATTATAGAATGAAATTGTTGCATTAGAATTAATTCCGCATTTTGAATTTAACACAAAGTTTATTTTGATTATATTTTTGAAAACTTCCTTATTATTATTTTTTTTCATCAGATAAAAAAAAATTATATTAAAGGTTAATTGGTTTGGAGAAACATTGTGGTATTGTTTGTTCATCACTTTATATTATTACAAAAGCAGGAGCAAATTTTAAGCAATATCGTGTACAATTAACGAAAAATTTCCTTTTCTCCGCACGGACGATTGAATGAAAACATCAACAACTGGTTTGGTTTGGAAAAAAATGTACACTTTACTGAAGTCAATAAATGGCCATATTAAATGAATGAACGAAGACGTTTAGCAATATTTGTAAAGTTGGCGTGATTAGCAAGTAACTTTTGAGATTAAAAATACATATAATGTTAAAGTATATGTTAACACAGATTGCGTTAAAAATGGATCTGTTAAGATTACCGTGTTTCTAAGACGTTATTAATTACAATATTTGTAAAGCATGAATTCCCGCAAGTAAAAAAAGGTCAAAGTACAAAGTAATAAAAACAGTGACGTACATAATGATAGGAAAATATCGTTTCACTTCTTTTACAAGACTCTTCGTAAAATACATAATATATTGGGGATCACGATGAAGTCGCGTCATGTATATCTATCTATCTATCTATCTATCTATCTATCTATCTATCTATATATATATATATATATATATATGGTTAAAATACAAACTATGTATAAAATTTCAACAACAACGGGTTTTCTTTAAGACTTTATTTCGCAAATATGTGGTTAGGTTACTGTCCCGAATACAACCACAATGCTGGAACAATCACAACTGTTTTATGCAACACAACTGGATGCCCTACGCTGCCGTTCTATTCCAATGAAGTGTACCAGTGTAAGTAAAATGTAGGGTTTGTAGATTTTTAAAAAAAATCGTTTTACGACAATAAAAAAAAACAATATTTGTTTTAACTTTAGAATTATTTCGTAACTTAAGTGTTTTGATACAGTCACTTCAATTATGTTTTATCATCTACTCGACGTACTTAATATCAATAACTGTGATGTGATATTTTTTTTTTCAATCTCTATACTGACGCATGCTATAAGACTATTGTTGTCACTAATTTTATATGTAAGTATCTGAAGACATTGTAAATTTAGATGAGATCAATAAAATTCAAATCGCTCAGTGATTTGATCAACGAAATAACTAAATCAATGTTGTATTCTATTTCAGTTCCAATGTGTTTAACAACTGACGATGGAAGGTAATTATTAGGCCTCACTGTTGACTTTTTAAATTAAGTTTTATCGACAAAGAGTATTGATTTTAGCATGAAATCTAATAATATCGATATAGTAATTTTATCATACAATGAAAACATTTTTGGATCATAGTAGTTATATCAATATAGCAGTGAAAGTACTGGTAGAAAACACCACTTCTTTCTATGTAGCAAATTAACTGTGGATTAAAAACACATATTAGTAGACTAGTAGTTGAAATTTATATTATCTCTTCTTAAAAGATATAAATTATATGATCGAAAAGAATACCTGATTGATATTGTGATGAGAAAAATGATAACAGCCCCCCCCCCTTCTGATACAACATGGAGACTACTACCCGGTACCCCTCACGTGAATTGTAATTAAGGGGGGGGGAATCAAGAGATAGATCGATGTCTTATAAAAACTTAATTCAAGTAGTAATGGGGAGGGCGAGTGTGTATGTTTCAATACTTTCCGTTTAATTATAAGAAGTTTCCTCTGCTATAGACATCATTCATATCAACGATATTGTATCGATATCGAATCTTGATCGTTTAGTAACTGGTAGTAATTGCTCTTGTTGCTGTGTTTTTTTACACTTGTGTGTATGTTATAATACTTTCCATTTACAAGTGTGGAATAGCACTCGACGATCTGGTGTAGATATCGAAAATTAGTCGTTCAATAAATAATGGACGTAGCACTTACTAATGTGTATATTTTGTGTATATTGTGTATATTTTACCAGCCAAACCTTACTATAAAAATAATCATAACCCTAAACCCTTATCCCCTTAATCTAACCTTACTCCAACCACCGGCTTTAACACTAAACCAAACCCTGATCCAAAATCTTTACCTCAACCCTTTCTGCGAGATCCCAGTTTATTTACAAATCAATGTCACTCGGTCTAGGTACTGCAAATTATATTCTTTATCTTATACAATAGCTTTTGAGGAAAGAAGAGAGGGGTTCTCAATGAAAAGTGTATGAAATAAAATACAGCATTAATTGTTATTTTGTTGACCAGATTGATGTGAAGTTTATCATTAAGTCAAATGCTGACTAATGTTTTTCATACGTATTGTTAGACCATTATTTACACACTGAATTGTCGACGGATTTTTCCGTTATTTCCCGATCATGACAAGGAGCACACGGCGGGTGTGACCTGTCGGCAGGGGATGCTCAATCCTCCATGGCACCTGATCCCACCTCTGACGTTTTAGAGGTCTGTGTTTGCTCTGCTCCTGATTTGTGTAGTTTGATGGACTTTCGAGCTTGAATACTGTTCGTTATTTCCATATATTTCATGTACATGTATCGTTGGCTTTGTTTGTGAAAGTATAATGTTCTTAATTTTGCGTTTACCCCTACATCGGAAATTCAAAATTTAAAAGATAATACTGGTTTTGAAACTGATTCTTACAAGATACAAAAGAACGTAACTTTCTCTACTAATTGCACGATGGAAATGAACGTAATGCTTTCTAGAATAAATCAAAACCAAGTCTCTCCAAGATAAAATCTGGCAATTATATCTTTAGATTTGTCTATGATGAAAAATTCACAAGATGTGATTGTTTCAGGAAAGTTCAAGGAAAAGAAATACTATCGGTGCCTGCAATGCGCATTATTATAGCCGTTGCTGTACTTCTACTCCTACTGTTAATTGGAACAATATGTGTAATACTTCGTAGGAAAATGAAAGGTAAAATTGTTTCTACAGAAATTAATTTTTAAAAAAAATAGTAGTCAGTACTTCACTACTTATAATGGCTATGACAATGGTATGCATCTTTTTCTCAGAAATAAGAAGATCAGATGCTCAAAAAACGCAACTCTCAAAGAAAAATAAGACACCTATTGGTAAGATATTTACTTTTGAGATTTTAATGCAACTAACCGTCAATAACCCGGCCCCCTCATAGCTGTCCCAATAAACAGAAATCTAGACCATCTTACTTTCCCGAAGTATCCCCGGTAAAGCATTTGTATTGAAGTTAATGAATTTTAGAATGAGAAAATAAGTTTTTATACATTGTATACTGTAACAGACTGGCCTCCAAAATGTTGGACTTACGTTTATATCAAATCTGTTTGAAGAGTTTTTCTAGCCTATCTAAATAAATTAAACAAAAACAAGACAAACCCAATTAAAACCAAAAATTCTCTTATAACGTATAAAATCGATTTCTCGTTTATTCAATTAAAAATCAATCGTAATTAGGTCAGGTTGGAATGAGGATTTAAATTCACAGATCATCAATAATTTGCTTTTTTTTTCAGAAATAAGAGGATCAGATGCTCAAGAATTGCAACCACTCTCAGAGAAAAATAAGACACCTATTGGTAAGATATTTACTTTTGAAAGACGATAAATAATGTAAAATGCTATAAAACTATGGCACCACACCTTACCTTTGATAGAAATGTCTAGGTATTTAAGAACTCTTTTTAACGCGACATAGTTGTCTATAAATTGGAAGAATAATGAGAAATTTGTATGTCAATATTAGAGAAAGACAATTAGAACAGAAAAAATCCAAATATTTTCACACTAAATTGTCCATGCATTTTTCCGTTTACCCAATCTTGACAATTAAGGGGCACAAGGCGCATGTGACCGGTTGACAAGGGATGCATACTCTTCCATGACCCCTGATTACACCTCTGACTCTGCTCACAATTAATATTGTTTGAATGGTCTTTTGAGCATAACCATTTTTAGTTATCTTCTCATTTCAATTAAAAAAACATACTTTTTTCCTATGTTAAATCTCGAACACTATTTTCTTAAAATTCATTATCAACATTTTTTTCCCTTCAAATCAGTAAAACATCTTTACCTCTTTTATGGGCTCTATATTACCATGATAAAGGCTATAAATGCCTTGATTTAAACAAACTCAATTTATGCAATATAACATTGTTAACCAAATCCATGTACAGGAAAATAAAACCAACTCGCGCCGAGCTCATTGCAAAGCAACGAGTAGGTCTTCCGTTGGAGCTGCGGGCAGGAAGAAGTGACCTTGAGTCAAGGTCATGCCATATTCTAAGGCTATAAGCAATCTTATAAGGGGTATCAACTGACAATGTTTCACTCTGTAAAGGAATGTACGTGACCTTGAGCTTGTCCAAATGACCTTGTGAAGGCCATGACACACTCTAGTTATGAGCATACCCTATCTGTGCATTACCGACTTCTCAAATTCACACATTTTCTTAAAGTCCATATATCCAGTCAAAACATCATATCCTTAGTGACCTTGAACTTGAGTTAAGGCGATGTCACACTCTGCATGATACCAGAAATGTTTCACTAGAAACAGACGGTAACGAAGTTATAGTTTCCCATCCAAAATCATCCAAATAACCTTTCATCAAGGCCATAACACACACTGGTTAAGAAAAATCCCAATCTGTGAGTTATTGACTGGATAAGTTCAGCCATGTTCTTTCAGACCATAGATCGAGTCAAATGAAATATATGAAGATAACGAACAGTATTCAGGCTCAAAAGTCCATCAAACAATACAAAATAGGAGCAGCGCAAACACGGATCTCCAAACATCAGAGGTGGGTTAGGTGCCATGGAGGTGCCTCAAAATAATTTATTAGGTTCAACACAATGATTTAAGGATTCATTGTGAATTTTTTTGTCCAGTTTATATATTGAACAAGACATGTTTGTGAAACACTGATGCCTCGGCATTGCAGCTTATAGCAAAGGTTTAAGTTTCTCAAATCCGAATCCAACTCCAAGGTCAAAGTCAAGAGCTAAAAAATTACCCAAAGAAAGATCTCGTCTCAGGGAATATAACTGTGAAAAATTAAACCGTTAGGACTAACTGTTGAAAAGTATGGCAAAAGTTTTTTTTTTATACTCAAGTCAAAAGTAAAGGTCAAGGACAGATTAACGGTGTCCAAGGGAATGTCTTGTCACAAGAAATAGACATTGAAATATGAAAGCACTAGCATTAATTTATCAAAAGTTATGGAATGGAAAAGGTCAACTTTTTTTCAAAAGTAGGTCAAACCCCAAGGTCAAGGACAAAAGTCAAAACTGTCGGTACTCAAGGGAGGGTCTTGTCACAAAAAACACACATGTAAAAATATGAAAACCCTGACACCAACCGTTAAAAAGTTATGGACAAGATCAAAATGTTCCAAAGGTAGGTCAAACTCTAAGGTCAAAGGTAAAAGTCAAAACTTTTGAAATTTTTTAAAAGTACGTCAAACTTCAATGTCAAGGTCAAACAGTAAAAAATGTGATATCCAATGAATGGCGTTGTTACAAAGAATATACCTGTGAATGTGAAAACGCTAGTCCTAACCGTTCGAAAGGTATTGCCAAGGTTATATTATTTTAAAAGCGGGTCAAACTCCAAGGTGAAGGTCACAAGGTCAAAAATATTTATTCCCAAGGAAAGGTCTTGTCACAAAGAATTTCGGATGTGAAGTATGAAAGCCCTAACGCCAACTGTTCAAAAGGTTAATTTTTGCAAAGTTGGTCAAACCAAAAGGCTGTCGAAAAGATAAAATAGGCTCCAAGGTATTCAATCAAGTAAACTTATTATATTGCAGATCAAATAAAGCATGAGCAATAAGAACAGGCACGTATCATCAGCCCCCCCCCCCCCTCTTTTTTTTCAAACCTAATTTTTTACTATAGTAATGTTCATTGAAAGTTCCGTTGGCCCCCATTTTTTGTTGCAGTATAGTCCCATTGCCCCCCCCCCCCCCCTCCCAGAAAATAGGATTTTGGGCAATTTTCTTATTTTCTATTTTGGTTGTGAAGTCTTTTCAAGTAAGTTTAATTTTTTCTCTGGCTGCCCCCCCCCCCCTTTAAAAACCGATGCTACATCCCTGAAAAGGAACATGTTGAGATGTCTGTCCTGGCATATATAGAGAGATTACCAATCAAATTGCATGTTCAACGCAATTGCAGCAATAAGAAACTCGCCGACAGTTTTGTTTTTCAATTCCAAATTGCTTTTTGATTTCTAAAGATATTTATATTCCTTTTAATGTATGTTCGTGGATTATTGATGGAATAATTTAGTTACATGTCAAGTTTAATATGAATGTGTTCGTGCTTTGTAGCAAGGATTTGCTAAGTACTTATAATTTTCTATGATTGTACCAAAAAGTATATACATGTTTTAAAGCAGAGCTGCCGCTCAAGCTTTATTCCTGTCTTGTAGATCTAGAGGTCTTTGTGTATATAATATCATAGGTAAAAGTACTAGTACCGGAGATCTTATCCCTTCTAAGCAATATTATTTTTGCTTATCACGCCCTTTGTTTATTTTATACATGTAGTTATGTACCCCATCCACCCTTCTTGTGTTCAAGATGCTTCAGTCGTTTGTTTGCATTATAACTTAACAAGAGGTCCGTGCTTTTTTGTGTGAAGTATAGTTTTTAAAAATTCGAATATGACAGACTAAAAGGATATGTGTTTTATTGATAAAATAATGAAATTGGTAATCAAGGTCCAAAATACGCGTGCAGTGGCGATATTCAAAATTGACAGGAAGTCGTTTGACTTTTTAATACACCTAAAGATGTGGTCAAGACGAAAGATTTTGAAAGGTTTGATAAATACACAACATACATCACAGAGTTGACCAATATGAATGCATTATGATCAGGTCACATGGTAAGTACTTCTATCACAATAATTGACACGTGGGACACCTGCATGGATTTCTTATGATTAAGTTAAAAATTTATAAACAAGATTTAAAGAAAAGAATGTGAAGATATTCGTTAATAAAACGAAGAAAATTAAAGAATATTTAGTATAGGTATAGTCAATTAGATTAGAATTGCAGCGACTATCAGAATTTCGGGCTGTAACAAAGATCTGATAGTAGTATTATATAGGGTCCTATGACACCCCATCGGTGGTTAAATGTGATAAAATGTGGTTGTGGGTAGTGTGGTTGCGGTTAAATTTGGTATGGTTAACGTGGGTGGGTTGTGGGTAGTGTGGTTGCGGTTAAATATGGTTGTGGTTTAATTGGTTGTAATTAAATGGTTAAATGTAAAATGTGGTTGTATTTAAATGTGTATGAATGTAGTAGAGTGGAAGGAATAATATGAAAGAATGATATGGTGTATTTGTGGTAGTCGTAAAAATTCTTTTCCATACGTTTACATAGAAATGAAAAATCTGTGTACCTTATATAATTGTCATAGTTTATGCGTTTGTGCTATATATTAAACATTAACACTCATGCAGTGGTTGAGTTTATTACAACCATATCATCCTTAAATTCTTAAGAGATAAATAGAAAGAAATAATTTAGTGTCATAAATTATCACAGAATATTATGGAAATATGAATATTTTATTGACACCACCAAATATGCTATATTGATTTCATTATAAATCAGTTCTATATAAGGAGTAAACTCTCACAATATTTCATACATTCTTTTCCAATCACTAGCTCTTTCTGACGCTGCAGACAAACAAATGGTAAGTAATTCATTTCATGTTTTAGTTTTTTAAAAACAAATATGTGTTTAAATGAATGCTGTGATAATATGTTTTGGGGGAGTTAATGCAATATTAAATTAATCATTTTAGAAAATGGCCTCCAATCTTCCACAAGAAAACATTATATCGGACTACATGATAGGAGAAAAGAAACTATCTGTTTTAGAGTATAGGGATGGTATCCTCGTTGAATTAGAAGCTCAAAATTCGAAAAATAAATGTGTAAGCCTGGATGTTAAGAGATGGAAGTATTTCTGTGACAACATCGAACAAATTCAAGAAGCCGTTAAGCAATACTTAATTCGGGGACGAGAAGGTGAATACAAGTTGCATTTGGGAAAAGATTTGTTTCTTTCAGTAAAAAACGGAATCAAGTGTGTAGACTTCAGGAAATGGTTCAAGAACGATAACAATTACTTGAAACCCACGACGAATGGTGTTGCCTTATCGTTGAAAGAATTTGAGAATTTAATAAAAATACTGCCGGACATCAACGGAGATATTCCAGATCTAGAGTCTATTACACCTTGTCAATACACGCATAATGTGGAAGCATTATGCGATCACTGCAAACAGTCGGCACCATTTGAGTCCTAAAAATGAAAGACTAAGCATTATGTTTCTTGTATTTATCATATATTAGAGTTTTATGATGTATGACAATTAGTTTAAGGATAGATTTTGATCACAGCCAACATGTATTTTATGCAGCATTTGAGTCTTAAAAATGAAAGACTAAACATTGTTATGTTTCTTGCATTTATCAATAGAGTTTTTAGATGTATGACAATTAGTTTAAGGATAGGTTTTGATCACAGCCAACATGTATTTTATTTAATTGTTTCTTTCAGTAAAAGTTTTATGTTTCTTAAATTTATAAAATAGATTTAAAACAATTATCTTAAGAATAGATAAATGAAATATGTTGACTGTCATTTAAAATGTGTCACAAGAATACTTCAATGAAATGTCTCCATTATTTTGCACCACTGAAGTTCAATTTTTTGAAATAGTTGAAGATATGCAAAATCATGCAAGAGATATAGGACTCTCTGATAATCCAAGAACACTTCTGATAGGTGGAAACAAAGCAAACAAAATAATGTTGGGTACATCCCTTTTAAAATGGTATTCAGATCACGGACTGGTAGTGAGTAGAATTTACACCGTTATTAAAAGTTCTTATATGCTGAATTTAAAGATAATATAGCTAATGCTAGAAGGAGAGGAGATCTTAATAAACCCATCTTTAAGTCTTAATTAAGATACGGCTAAAGTTGAAGGAATTCTGCATATGGAAGTTTGTTGTTAAATAAAGATAATTTTACAAACATCTCCTTCATTGAAGGAATAGATAATGTATCCAAAAAAGTAAACGAACCTTTGTTTATGACATTAACAGAAATAGATAGCACAAGTGAGTATTATAAAGTTCAAATGGCTAGGGAAAAATTATTCACAATATACCAATACAATTGGGCTTTTTTGTTTTACAATATGCCAAATTGCATATGCTAAGATTTTATTATGACTTTTTAGATAAATGTGTAGACAGAGCAGATTTTGAATTCATAGAAATGGATACTGACAGTGCTTATTTTGCAATCTCTGAATGTTGTTAAATGAAATTATCAAACAAGATTTAAAAGAACATTATTTGAAATCTTTGATTGAAAATTGTAATAATGAGTTTGATTTTGAGCAATCCAATGCTTGTTTTCCAAGAAGGCGTTGCTTTAAGCATTCTAAATTTGATTTAAGAACACCTGGAATGTTTAAACTCGAGTTTGAGGGGGATTCTATGATTGGCGTGTGTTCTAAAACTTATGCAGTCGGTAACGAGTCTGAAGTTAAATTTTCATCGAAAGGAATTTCAAAACAGAGTATTCTCAATCCGATTGAAACGTATCAGAGGTACTGCACACAAAAAATACTGAAGTAGGTCTTAATCGAGGGTTTTTGATGCGTGATAAAAATATATTTATCAGAAGTTTACCTTGTGAAGAAAAAATCAACTAAAAATGGTTATTATAACATTATTGTATCAGATGATTTAATGGGTGAAATATGTAATGACAGAGATATGGAAATACTTTTTACCCAGAAAGCGCATCATTTACGCTTTGCGATTATTTTCATTGCACAAAATCTTTTTTCGCAAGGCATATCTTCTCGCACCCTTTCTTTAAACTTACATTATTACATATAAATGCGGAATCCAAGAGGTGTACCACAGATACGAACGTTAGGTCAACAAATTGGACAAATGAAAACACTGATGACAACATATAAAGATGCAACGCGTGAGAGATTTTCGTATTTATTAGTTGATCTTTCTCCGGTGTCAGACGATTTTCATAGATTTAGAACGAACGTTTTTAATCAAGAAGATACCATTTTGTATGTGGATGGTTAAAGAAGGATATAACCAGTAGTGTCGTTCAGAGGGCATTAAGTTTCATTGATCTTTTATCGGATAAATCAACGAACAAAAAACAAAGTAAATGCTTACGTCAAACCGCTAGTGAACATCAAGTTACTGCAGCTTGTGAAAATATTGTACAATATTGTGTATGGAGAACTTAAACTTTCAAAAAGAGAAAAAAAATCGTTAAAGACTCATTCGAAGCTCTTAAAATTTTTCTTATCAAAGAAAAAACCGTTAAAATACGAGCAGTTTCTTTTGTGTAAATACAGTAAATTTACTCTTAACATATTGAAAACGTGTGCGACGACAAATTTTGAAAACATTAAAATGAATTTAATTGCTTCCGTATGAACGCTATTAAATTCTATTAAATGAATGAAATGACAATAAAAAGAAAAAGAAATTGAACGGGATTTTAAAAGTGATAAAATATTTGTAAATCAGGAGGATATGGAACAAATTATGAAACAGCAAAAAAGATTCATCATCAGGCGAGATCAGAGAGAAGCTTCTACGAAGGAAAAAGAAAAAAAAAGATAGCTGCTGTCTATTATACTGTGAAAAATAGTGCAAGTTTTTCTGGGCCGCAGAAAATATATAAAACATTAAAGGATAAGGGGCAAAACATTTCACTTGGCGATATCAAAAGATGGTTTAAAAACAAGAAAACTATGGACTACATAAAAGAGTACATCGAAAATTCAAGCGAAATAGATTTGTCAGGTATAAGACAGATTATATTTGGGATGCGGATGTTTGTATAATTGATGGCTATAAAGATTATAATAGAGGTTATAAAAGTTTTTTTTTATTAGTTATTGACACTTTATCTCGATATGCATTTACTCGCATGATTAAATGGTTTGAACATATTTTATTGTATAATTAATATACAAATGGTTTGAACACAAGTTCTAACAACTTACGAGGTTTTCACCATAAATGGCTACAACTGTCAAGGTCTATATATAGAAAAAAAATATTGATATACAAACATGTTTGTTTTAAACATACATTAATTACATGATAAATATATAACTAACTAGAGTTTTAGTGTAAGGCTGTTATAATTAATTGAATCTGCCAGAATCTCTTATAAATTTTTGTACAGATTGAAAAATATATTTATTGATTTCAACATTTTGTGACTCATCTCCCCACAGAAGTAGGTGACAATCAATAATATTAAATTTAGTGTTTGGTTTAATAAGACACAGTAGGTTTCTAAATAGTTCCTTTCTAGCATGTTGATATTTATTACATACAAAGAAGAAATGATATGGGTCTTCTGGTGTACCACATGAACAATTAGGACTCTCAATAATGTTTCTTTTATAAAGATCATAATTTAAAAATACAATTGTGTCGTAGTTTAGTATGTTTGATACTAAGTCGTCTGTTACCATAACAGAAATAAGGAGGGGGTCTGCTGGTTTTTTATGTATTTTGTTTTTGAAACTACTAAAAGTTGAGCTGTTTCTTATGGTAATACTTAAGCTATCCCATTGGTTTACTGTATCAGGAACAAAAGATTTCTTAAATATTTCGAGTCTGCATCTAGGAATAGTGTAGTCATCTCGATTACGTGTGTTGTAATTTGATTCAACACTCCTTATTGAGGGAAAAATACTTTTTAAATAATCAGGTACCAAACTGTGATGTATTTTAAACATAGTATTTAGTTTTCCTACTTTACGCCTCTCTGTGAGAGGTTCCTATCCTGTTTCTAAATATAATGCATCTCTTGAGGCTATAATGGGTAACCCTGTAATTATTCTCGCAGCATAAAGCTGCACCTCTTCTAATTTTTCAACATCTTGTAGAGAGCATCCATCCCAAACTACAGAACAATATTCAAGTAGTGGTCTAATAAAAGTTATGTACATTTTAGATAGTGTGTTTCAACCAATGTTATATTTAAGCTTTTTTAGGAGGCCTAATCTTTGGTAAGCCTGTTTAACTATATTGTCTATATGTTCAGACCAATTGAGATTTTCGCTCAATAGTTGTCCTAGATGTTTTGAGAGGTTATGTTTTCAAATTACATCGTTGAAATTGTAGTTTAGGAAGATAATAGTTAGATCTTAATGTAAAGAATAATGCTTTTGTTTTGGATGGGTTGAATTTCATAAGCCATTTGGAAGACGACCTATCAAGAATTTCTAAATCGTGATTCAAGATATATTCAATAGTTGCAACATTATATGAGGAACATTGCAACGAGTTGTCATCTGCAAACAATCTACATAATGAAATCATGATTTCTGACACATCATTCATATAAATCAAAAAAGTAAAGGACCAAGAACTGATCCTTGTGGTACACCAGCATTAATGTTTCTACTAGATGAAAAAATATCTTTATACATACCTTTCTGCCTTCTATTACATAAGTAACTCTCAAGCCAGGTAAGAATGTTACCACATAAACCGTATGTCTTTAATTTGAAAAGTAAACCTTTATGCTACACTCTGTCGAACGCTTTGGACAGATCGCAAAGTACCATGCAACAAAATTTTCCTTCATCGATATTCTTAACAATGCTGTGATAAGTTTCAAGTAATTGGTAAACAGTTGAGTGAACTGGCAAAAAACCTGCTTGAAATTTGTAAAAAAAAAAAACCCGTTATTTTGATGAAAGTAATTGTACACATGTTTAAATATAATTCTTTCCATAATTTTGCTAACGCAACTCAACAATGATACCGGTCTATAATTAGT